GTTTGAGAGGTCCCTAACGGCAGACTTTCCCATCGCGATAAGCTTTTTGATTTCCTGACTGCTGGTACCAAGAGTGTTAACTGTGGAGCCGAGCAAAGTGAATTACAGTGGGAAAATCTGCTGTCTGGGACCCCTCCAGAGTATTGAGAAGCAATCATGTAATATAGAGATTAAGGTGTACCTGATCCAGGATGTGGTTTTCAAAACTACATCAGAGATCTGGACAATGACTAAGGATGACAGAAGAAGAATTTATACCTTTGAGTTGCAGTGCTGGAGAAGAGTCTTGAACATACCATGGACCTCCAAGAAATAAGTCTGTCCTGGAGAGAGTAAAACTAAGTTTCTCCTTTGGAGGCTAGAATTTTGATGCACTGTCTCATATACTTTGGGCATTTGGCCAGGAGCGACTAGTCCTTGAAGAAAGACATGCTTGGAAAGGTGGAGAGATAGTACAGGAGAGAAAGATTCTGGATGAGATGGATTGATACAGTAACTGGGGCAAGGGGATAGGTGTGTCAGAGTCAGTGAGACTATGTCAGGACAGGGCAGGCTTCAGAGCTGTTGTACATAGGAACACTATGAGTTGCAGACTACTCAATGGCAGATAACAACAACAAGGCAAAAATGGATATTCTGGTCTAGAATCTTATGTATGTTCTCACACATTCCTGATCTTTTTAATTAAACATAGTGTGTTTTATATTTTTAACAAATAATCAGATAATGTCATAGTCACTCTGTAAGTTGCTGCTGAGCCCTTAACTGACACAGAAAACCTATTTGCAGATTAATAAATATGTATAAAATAAACAAAGTAACTGGTCAACAAGTATTGTTGTTGTGTACCATAAAGTTGGAACCAATCAATAATTGACCCTCTGGGGGATTTTTAGAAGCAGATAATTGCACGGGAGGAGACTGCCCATCAACAGGTGTTACAAGTGGCAAATTCTTATTTAAAATCATATTCATGCTTTTCCTAAAGCTACAAAAACGTGTGTGTGTGTGTATGTGTGTGAGGGGGGGAGGGAGGGAGAGAGAGAGAGAGAGAGAGAGAGAGAGAGAGAGAGAGAGAGAGAGAGAGAGAGAATATGTCTGTTATCATTATTTCATATTGGAAAGCTGGTTGGTATTTTCCCATCTATTTATTTATGACTTATAGTCTAGTTACTACGGAGTTGTGGATATGTCATCTGAAGGGAGTTCTACTGCTAATCCAAAGTCCATGCTCTCTGTCAGTTTGAATCTACAGTAGCTCCAAGAGAGAAAGATGAACAATTTCTTCCTGTGTGATTTACAGTCTTGGAAACCTGCTGGTGGGTCAGCTATGAATTAGATCTGACGCAATAGCAACACAACGACCCAGTCAATTTTATTGTACACCTAGAAACAAAGCATATCTTGTCACAGACCCTTATGTTGTTGTTGTTATGAGCTGTTGAGTCACCTGCAACTCATAGCAATCCTATGTACAACAGCCCTAAACTCTGCTCTCTCCTGTGCCAATCTTATTGTCTCTGATACACCTATTACCCCAGTCATTGAATCAATCCACCTCATCCTGGGTCTTCCTATCTTGCCCTGTCCCTCCACCCTCTCAAGCATGGCATCCCTCTCCAAGGACTGGTCCCGCCTTGAAACATGTCTAAAGTATGTCAGATGGAGCTTCAGAATCCTTGCCTCCAAGGAGCAGCCTTGTCTCACCCTCTCTAGGATGAATCTGTTTTTTCTCCTAGCAGACAATGTTATATTCAATACTCTTCTCCAGCACTACAGATCAAAGGCATCAATTCTTCTGTCATCCCTAGTCCTTGTCCAGCTTTCTGATATATAGCAAGGAATTGCAAAGACTATCACCTGAGTCAGTTGCAGCATAGTCTCCAGAGTGACAGCATTGTTCTTGAGTCTTTGGAGAGGTCTCTGACAGCTGACTTTCCCAATACAATTCATCTTTTAATTTCCTGGCTGCTGGTACCATGAGTGCTGATTGTGGAGCCAAGCAAACTGAAGCTGTCAACAATCTCAATCTCTTCACCATCTATCATGATGCTGCCAATTGGCCCAGTGATGGGTATCTTTGTTTTCTTGATGTTGAGCTTCAATCCATATTGAAGGCTACAGTCCTTGACCTTCTGCAGTAAGCGCTTCAGGTCCTCCACAGTTTTAGCAAGCAGGGTTGTGTCATCTGCATTACACAGATGGGAAACTATTCCATTGTGACTACAGTGTACTACACATGGAAGAGAAAAAGTCTTAGCCACAAGAAGTCAATCCTGCAGCAGAAGTTCAAGGCAAAGTACCTTTCCTTAGAACCATCTGAGATAGGAAGCCTTATCAGACACTAGTACCTAGTATTTGTATTTACAGACTCCTAAACTCAAGAGTTACTGCCCGCAGCAGATGAAACTGGTAGCAGCTTGAGGTATTCGGAATCACAGAAGCCCAGAAATCTTGAGATATGAGCCATCACATCAAGGGATGGGGGGGGGGCAGATAGGTGTTGAAAGGAGTAGGTGGGAGTAGAAGGGAATGCTGGTGGAGCAGGGAAAGAGGTGGGTCAAGACATACATGTTAAGGACAGGGACAACACTGAATCTGTTGGTTATTTCTACAATTGGGAAATAT